GACATAATTAACAAGGTTGTCCTATTTACCTTTTTAAAAATATTGACACATCAGCTTTCTTCCTGTCTTCTAGAACTTGCCCAGTGTTCCAAGACTTTTTGAAAATCAACATTAACAGTCCAGTGAGCTCCTCAGACAGCTCTTGGATGCAAATTTTCTGCACCTGCTGATTTTAAAATGTCTAACTTTAGTAGCTTCTGTTTAACATCTTCCTAAGGTACTAGTGGAGTGGGAAGAGTGTTGTCACATGACATGACTACATCATCTGATTTTTTTCCCAAATAAAGAACAGAAATATTTATGGAACACTTCTGCCTTTGCTTTATTATGGATAATTCTACCATTTCCATCTAGTAATGGACCAATACCATAATTAGAATTATTTTTGTTCCTAATATACTTTAAAAACTCCTTCTTATTGTCCTTAACTCTGCGGGCCATAGATTTCGCCTTGTGTGCCTTTGCTTCCCTTATCAATTTTCTACAATTCCTAGCTTCTGATTTATAGTCATTACTGTCAGCTTTCCTTTCCTTCCATTTGTTCATTTCCCTTCTAAACCAAGTCATTTTTTTAAACCAATAAACCTTTTTCCTAGATGGCGTTTTAGTCATCTAGTAAAGTGTGCTTAAATAATTCCCATGTCTCATTCACATATTTCTGATTAAATTCTTCCTCTCAATTGATTTTGCTCATAATTGTTTTCAGCATCATGAAGGCACCAAGTGTATTATTGTTCTCGACTTTATTCTGTTTGCACATTATATATGTGATCAACTCATTAGCTGTCTAAGGCAATTGGCCCTGATTCAAAGTACTTAAGCACATACTTAAACTGAAGTGCATAGTTAAGTCCCAAGCATGACCCAAGAACCCCTTCCTGCCAACTGGCAAGGAGGTTATAGGAATGTGCTAGTTATGGTATGTACATTCTGGTTCACCAAAAAATGTCATGTGAGGTCTTTAATGAAATGCAGGGTCACACTGGTCATTAATATCAGTATGAAATGTATGTACAGCTACTATGTAAGGACACACACACACACACAATATGTTTTAAAGTCTGTATCAAAGCAGCATTGACAAACAGGTTTTTCTGTCAGACAAGACAGCTGTCTTACTATTGAAATGTAAATTGAGTATTGTGTCATTCACAATGGGTCTCTCACCACCCATCTAAGCTGAATGTAGACAACAGACTAAGAATTTCAGAAAAGAACTAGCAGGTAGAGAAACACTGTGGCAGAAAAGAACTTTTTCCTGAGCTATACTTCTAAGGTTTGCTGGACTATATTTGGAGAACAAAGACAACAACTAGGAAGTAAACAGGAGGTGCATTTACATTCATGAAAGTGGGATATGATTTTGTAATCTGTTGTTTCCATTATCCTCTCTCACTATTATTTTAATCTTGGATCTTTGATAATAAACTTATTCTTGTTTTCACTGTAACACATATAAGTGCTGTGCTATTAAGCAAGGTGCTGATCCTGAATGCTAAATCATACAAGGTGCTAAATCATACAAGCTGTTGTGTCCTCTCGTCCCTTGGGAACAGCAGACCTGGTATTTCTGTACGTGTTCGGGGCTGGACACTCCCGGGGAATGCTCCAAAGGGCCCCTAGGACCGGGATGCACCGATTGTTAGCCTGCAAAGTAAAGGAAGGGCTAGCACGACCCAGAGTAGAGTGCTTGTGTGGCTAACAGGCTGCTGGTGGCAGGGAGCTGATCCCCAACTTAAGGACAAGCAAGTCTCCCTCACACTGGAGGCGAGGGAGAAGTAACAAAGTGACTCTCGGTCCTGCATACTCCAAGAACCATCACACTATATTACCGTTAATTTTTAGTTCTGTGATCAGTTCCTCTTCCTCTGTCAAGATGAGGTCTACTATAGAATTCCCCAGTGTTGGCTGTAATGTTTTTTGAGTTAGGAAATGGTCATCTGTACGATTTAGTAAATTGAGTATTGTCTCATTCACAATGAGTCTCCCATCACCCATCTAAAATCAGAGACAGCAGGGTCCAGTCACCCTGTGACAAATCAGGTTTGGTTTCCTGTATTTTATTCCTTGCCATGAAGACAACCTGTACCACTGGTTTCCTGCTGTCAGAAAGGAAGGCTACTTACATCTAAACAAATGAGCACCAAGCTCCCAGAGTGAGGGCTTTGGTCACTTTGTAAGGAGATAGATCCAGCTTGTGTCACGGTAGAAGGGATCAGAACCTAGAGTTCTAAGGTGTCTGGTGGGACATGGCCCACAGGATATTACTTAATAGTTCTCTTTTACATACATGCAAAAGATATGACCTTATTCTTACTTATCACTGAATTTTAAAAATCTCCAAGCACACCAGTCTGAGGGTGTTAAACAAAATACAGTCCCACCTTCTGCTGTCCATTACAGGTGCACAGGTCCATTAGTCACAGTAGCAGAGTAGAATTTGGCTCAGTGTGCATTCTGGCTACCTGAACACCCCACACAATATTTACCGCTACAGCAAGAAACTAAGAGCCAGACTCAAAGCCCACTGAAGTCAATAAGAGTCTTTTCAAGGCCCCATACAGGCTTTGTATCCTCAGTAAGGGCCTGATTCCAAGGGATGATGAGCACTTGCAACTGCCGTTGAAGTCATTGGAAGTTGTAGGTGCCCAATGCCTTCTAAGATCAGGACCTAGCAAGTTACTTTCATGTTAAAAAAGAAACAATGAGCACAAGTGCATAGATGCAACTAGTGTCCCAGCTCTCTGTATGTTCCTTCTCAAGTACCACATGACTGGTACAGGCAATAAAGTAAAAGTGCTACAGCTTTGGTGCCAGTGCCGTTGAGAAAAACAGCAACAGAAAATATTAGGCAAAAGGGAGGCCAAAAATCAACTGGGAGAGAACATTTATTGTTAGAATGACTAAAAGGGAAAGAGTTAAAAACCATTTATATTGCTTGTTAAGTGCAAACAGTGTGTCTCGTGTTGTACTGAACACAGATATGGTCCCTGCCCAGAGGGCTTACAATCTAACCTTATGCCCCATTGCAGACAGTTGGACTCCATATAAATGTAGGAATGTGCCCATACAGTTCCCTTGGCAACTTAAGGGCCTAAATTATACAATGAAGACAGATTAAATTAGCACAATGTGCCTGACAAAATCCCACTAATGTGATACAGTTATTGCACACTGCTTTATAAATCAGAATATTTAGCAATTTTCAGGTTAGTTACAATACTGATAGTACAATTAAGGCTGAGCTAGTACTTTTATCCTTAACCCCTATTTGCAATCACTCAAACTTTCTAGAACAAATAGAAACTCTCATAGGACAAACCCTCTCCTATCTGATCTTAGTGCAGAGGTTGTTTTTAGAGGGTTTGAAGAAAAGCATTTGTAGTTCTCAGAGGCCTAGACATCAAGTGAAGTTTAGAAACTAAACGATCCGGGCGGGTGTTATGCAGGTTTGAAGTTGACACCCGAAGCTATCCCAGCTCTCGAGGCAGATCGGAACTCATGTGCATATATTTTCAAATGTTCATATGTTATCTGTCAGCTCTGTGTTCTTAGGGAACCAGGGCACAGTATCCAGCCTGTCTGACTCAGAAAAGACCCCCCTCCCAGCCTCTGCTTGAACCAAAACCGATCAGAAGACTCACAAAAAGCAATGAAAAGGCAGGGAGAGACACATCTAAACCCCTCCAGACAAAGGTGACAGGATTAAGGCAATTCCCCTAACCTCATTTGCATTGAAGATGGGACAGGAAGGCTTCTCCGTTAGCATATAGGATGGAGAACAGAGATTCCAAGGCAAGAACCCCACTGAACTCTGGGACCAGAAAAGCAGGGAAGCACTGCATCCTGGGGGATCTCTGCTCCAGATGTTAATGAACCCACAGCTGCACACGCCCAGCTCAGTAGTTATCAGACCAATTCTAGTAATGAATCCTTTATTGGTATCCAAAATACTGAAGCTGCCTAATTACCTTGTGAGCTCCCTCGAAGGAACACCTCCCATAGCCAGGAATGATCCGTTCCTATTGTCTAGCCTGAACAAAACAACTTTAGTACACTCCCTTGAGTCATCAGTTTACCCATAAACAAATCTAGTGTTCTCTCTTGAACCATTGTTCTTTCCCTACAAAAACCCCTACCCACGCTCAAGTAAGTGTTCTGATGCCTGGATCCAAAATCTGCATCAGTTCCATTGGGACCTCATCTTCTCCTGAGTGATCGTGCTGAGGGCTTTGCCGGTCTCCAGCACTCTGGACCTTCAGCTACCACCACCACCTGGGAACCCCGACCGGTTCAAGCTTCACGGAGTGGTGAGAACCCAACTCTCTCTCTCTCTCTTTTGTATTTTTTTCTACTCTAGGTATAGCTTTCTAACCCTGACTTGTGTGATCAGATCTAGTTTTCTAAACCTGACTTTTGTAATCAGATTTAAGCTAGATTTAATACTGTAACTGTTTTGTTTGTTTGGCTCCCCTTGTATGGTTATTACCTGGCAATAAATAACTTTTATGGTTAAGCTGGTTGCTTCCCTCCCTCCCTCTCTCTCTATTTTGTGTTTTTGGCTTCCCTGTTTGCTCTGCAGCAATGCTCCTCTTACCTAAGCTAAACATCCCGATAGTGCCCAAAAATCCTGTGGGGTTTTCTCATCAAGTGGGTTACTACCAGAACAATGGTAACATCAATGTGGGGATAGGGACATGCTGAACCTGTGGCATAGGAGGGTGGCAGCTTGAAAGTGCTGCTCGATCCAGCCTTCCAGGTCCAGGGGCATATAAAGGGTCAGCTTGGGAGTGCTGATTGACCTGGTCCACTCAGATGCACTCTGTTAATCTGTGTGTGTGTGTTCATCCGATTCTGGGGCTGGAGGAACCTAGGCCCTGCAGGATAGCTCCATTGGGAGGGGACTTGCAGCAGGGAGAAGTAGAGTTCCGTATGAGAACACAAGTGACACAAGCAGTACATTGATAGAATTACAGAAACCCCCTTCCCCGCAGAAAAGTAACCCTAATAAATGAGTATACCCCAAAGTAACAGGCAAATCTGGTAACACATAACTTTGCTGCAAAAAAAAAATAGTTCATAGCACATAGTGTCATTACTGCTCATTAGGGATTACTGGTGTATCAAGTGTGATGTTGCCCTTTTGGGGAAAAATAACATGAGAGTGTTTATTTTAAAGCAACGGGAAAGACATTTTCCATGCTCGTGATTGCAAAATACCAGAACAGATTTTGCTCAAACTTTCAAAAATTAAAAATATATAAAGACACATACTATTAGGCAGTGACCACACATGAAAATATCAGCTCTAAAGATAAGTTTCAGAGTAGCAGCCGTGTTAGTCTGTATCAGCTCTAAAGGTAAGTGTTTCAGAACCACTTAAGCAACTAAAAACAGGAGGTGAGAGTGGAAACTGTCTTGCAGATGTAACTATAATGAGCACAACTAGAGACCACTATAATGTACCACTACCAAAATCACTAGCCAACCATGTGGCTAGCTTGCAATACTGTCAGATCCATAAACCAAGCGAGATAGGATCCGGTCATCAATTTAGTGCATCAATTTAACTGTTATATACTTTTTTCCCTATGGAACTTTATTCTGTAGTTCTTAGTGTTTTAAAATGCCCTTTTGAGGGGCAAATATTTGTAAAAGTGATCAGTAGTCTTTACTTAAAACTAAAGATATACAAACAAGGCTATTATAGTGTATCAAATCTGACAGCAGTTAAAATTTTGTATATTCTAAAAGACATTTTTAATTTGTTGAACTGCTTCCTCTAACAGTGCTTTATTCCAGATTTTCTTTTTAGGGTTAGATATTTTTAGATTTGTGCCACAGCCAAAAAAGGTTGGCATCTCACATGCTGTAAATCTTAAAAGAAAGCAGAAGTCTTCTAGACCTTAGACAAAGTTTTCTTGCAAATTCTTGCAAAGTATAAAATGGAAAACAAACATCATGGCAAGGCTTTCATTGGACTATAAGGTAGGGGGCAATTCTGCATCCCTGGAGCAACCAAAGCCCAACAAAAGTCAGTGGGAGTTTTGGCTGCACCAAGGGTGCAGGATCACTTTCACTTTTCATATATTTCATTTACAATCATTTAGCCTTAGTTTAGACACAAGTCAGCTCCTCCTCTGGTGTAAATCAGGAATGTTCCAGCAAAGACAGAGGAGTTATGCTGATTTACACCAGCTGAGGATTTGATCCAGAGGGCCCAATTCACTACTGTCCTGCACTTTGTGCATTCATTGACACCAGTGCAAAGTATTACTGTTCTGACCCGCTAACGCTTACCAGCCACTTTGCACTGGTCTAAGTGAACATGCAGCATAACTGTGAATTGAGCCAACAGGACCTGATTTGCAAAGAGCTCCCAGCACAGCCTCCCACTTGGTGCCCCAAAGTAATAGTGAGCATAATGAATCTGGCCCCTAAATGCCTGACTTGTGGGTGCAGTCAGCAAGTTAGATAGCTACACACTGCCAGTGATTGCACCCACAAATTGCAGATACATAAAGAAAAGTTTCAGCTCTAATAAAGCTGAAAGCTTATGCTCTAATAAATTTGTTAGTCTCTAAGGTGCCACAAGTCCTCCTGTTCTTCTTTTTGCAGATACATAAAGGAAGGCTGCGTTTTAAATACTGTGTCCTAGATAATCAGGCCCAGGTGCTTAGATACCACAGTGATGGGCATGATATAAAAACTACGCAGAGTACATACAGCATTTGAAACTATTTAAAAATCTGCTTATGGCACTGACTACATGGGGCACATAGGACATGCCAAAGTGAAACAGAGCAATGGTCCGTCACAGACAGCGGCTGGCAAAGGAACCAGACTTAGTCAAGTCAGCTTTCATTGCCGGAGTTTATACTGAACCCGGCATGCTCCCACGGGCTGCTGTGTCCCCACTAAATGGAGAAGGCTCTGCAAAAAGATAGAAAAGCAGTAGGAAGACATGGTAAATATGCACCTGGGTTGGTTTAGTGAACACAGCCCTGGTCTCAGTTTGCTTTGGCATTAAGGTTATAAGCATCGTTTATAGAGATTTGCTTTGCCTTGTTACACAGACTTGAGAACCAATATTAAGGCCAATTCTTACTCCCACTGAAGCCAATTGGAGTTGTCGTTGTCTTCAGCGGGACCAGATTTTGGCTCCCATGTTTCATTTTAGGTCAGTATTGGCTCTAATACAGTATGAAGCATGAACTCTAAGGGACTCAATTTACTTTCAGTGGCATGATGGCCTGTGGTGGCCAACAGAAGGTGCAATTCTCTCCAGTGGGAGTACAGACACCAGCGCTGCTCCAGTCATGAAGAGGGAGCTGCTGGCTGAGATACTGGGGCCATGCCCCTTTCCCTGGCTGCCCTACCCATTTTGAGGGCTCCACCGCAACCCCCATCCTGGGTGGACTGTCCACCACTGGGGAGCAACAGCCCAGGTTCTTTCACCAGAATCAAGGAGTGCCGTTCCTCTGATATGCCAGCCTAACGGGCAACTCCTATAAATCCTGGGTCATTGCAAGCTTCCATCTCTTCTCCTGGTGTTCGATACCTCACTTACGGCGGCTTAGATATAAAGGCAAATGGCACATTTGGGTCGTAGCAGGCATATGTGTTTGTTATGCAGAGAACCGTGTTTGCGAAGGGGAATGCTAGCCAACAAGCCAGGTGGGGAGGAATGCAGACACGGAGAAGGAACAGCTGCAGCCAGTGCCGCTCTTAGCCAGTCACTCACTAGCAAGGGATATTTCAGGCTCAATAATTAGTGGTCCTGCTGTGCCATCTGATGCCCCCCGGCACTTGCATCTGGTCCTTATCCCTCTGCCACATGAGTGCAAAGGCAATGGAGAAACAGTCCCTTGTAGTTTCCAGTCCCCTACCTGGAAATAACCTTTGAGCACGTAACGTAGCAAGGGTCCAGCCCATCAGGCATGGATAAGATTATGTATGAGGCGACAGTCAGAAGACATTTCTACATCCTCTACCTTGTGCTAAGTACCGGGACATAGGCAAACAGCACAAAGTCATTAAATAAGAAGCTATGATGAGGTTTAGCCATCTATCTAGGGGCCAAAATGTGCTCCTCTCAGCTGCACTGCTGTAAATCCAGCGTAGCTCCATTGGCTTCAATGGCGTTACTCTGGATTTACACAGCTAGAAGTGAGGGAAGAATTTGCCCCTTACATATTTTACAAACAACATTACAATTGAGAGGAAAGAAACAGTGTTTAAAGATTTGGATTAAACATACAAGTATTTACCTCCTTTGGTACTGGGTCCAAAAGAATAAATTCGTATTTGTAAAGGAACAAAACGACTAGCATGTGAACCTCCATTATAGCAAGCCACCTAAAAAAGGCAAAGGAGAAAACAGTGGTTTTTCTGGCTTGACCACCCCATATTAGCAGAAAAAACACAGAATCCCTTTTGTACACTTTAGAGTCCATCGCCTGTCTCTGCACACAAGTTTACCTCCAGCAGAAAAAGATGCTGATGATCTTTTAGCAGGTAAAGGGTATGGCTGTTGTAGCTTCCCCTTCCTGTCTGTGAAACTCTAAAACAACTGCTCATGGTGGTCCTCAACTTCTCTGCTATGGGAGTTTGTTTTAAAATAGGGTCTGTATGCTCATTTGTAGGGCCCTACCAAATTCACAGTCCATTTTAGTCAATTTCACGGTCATAGGGTTTTTAAATGAGTCCATGTCATGTTTTCAGATGTTTACATCTGAAATTTCACAATGATGTAACCGTGGGGGGTCCTGATCCAAAAGGGGATCATGGAGTGGAGGGGGTGTTGCAAAGCTATTGAAGGGGGGGTCACAGGATTGGCATCTTCACTTCTGCACTGCCTTAAGAGCTGGACTCTGAAGGCAGCACAGCCACGGAGCTTTCTGCAGCCGGGGGAGGTACCCGGAGGTGGGTCTGATCTCTCCCCGTGCAGGGGAAGAGGAAGTCCCGTCCCTTCCCAGCCCGGCTGGGACTAGCAGCTGGAGCCCAGTGCAGTAGGAGCCCCCAGCCTGCCCCTGCCCCTCTCTCTCCCTCTCCCCTCCCCTCCAATAGCTAGATTTCCTGGGGGAGGTCTGATTTCACGGTCCGTGATGCTTTTTTCATGGCTGTGAATTTGTTAGGGCCCTACTCATTTGGCAGCATTTGCCTTTATTTTCCTCTCACATTGTTGTGAGCCAGGAGGAACCACACGATAGTGAGAGGGGAATGACCTAGAAAAATACTACATGGGCACTGTGACATAGAAGGTTGTACAGTACAGCTGGGAGCCTGACAACGGAGTAACCACGAGAATGCAGCTTATTAGTTAGCATGTCAACATCAAAACCTGGTGAGAGGTATGAACAGTTAGATCCGTTCCCATGTGCCCTAACAATCGCTGAGCTCTCCATTAGTCAGTCTGGAGAGGACTTCAAACAGTCTCAGTCTTGGCTGTTGTGTTTTCCCCTCCATGGATCTGTACAAGAATTTTCTCTACTGCTCAGGCCCAGTTCACATTTAAGCCAAGTCAATGGGACAATTCACATGTTAGGCACATGCGTAAGTACCTTGCTGAATCAGGGTCTCATGTAATAATATTTTGCTCTTATAGCACACTTATCAATAGATCTCAAAGCATTTTACAGAGAAGGTCAGTATCATTATCCCCATTTTACAGATGGGGCAACTGAGGCACAGAGCGGTGAAGTGACTTGCCTAATGTCACCTAGCAGGCCAGTGTCAGAGACAGGAATAGTATCCAAATCCCTTGAGTCCCAGTCCAGTGCCTTCTCCAGTAGGCCATACTGCTGAGAAGAGAAACCAAAGTAGTTCTGTAACTGCATGGGCCAGATCCTGCAAAGGGTTGAGCACCCCCTCAGCTCCCACTGACTTCTTCCAGGTTGTACTCAGCACCTCACAAGATAGGGCCTCAGAGCTATTTTCCTCTCAGAATTCTGCACAGAGTTCACTCCTTCCTGTTTTTCATAGTGACAATATGTGCTTAGTAAAGACAATCAGATGTTCTGTGTTTCTTGTGTTACCCTGAATTTAAAGGGTGCATGTACCTCAGAATGTGATTAAGCCAACTGCAACCATATTATGTGCATTCAGCCACTAATGAACTAATAAGATAGAACACTGCATAGTTAAGGGTTAATTTGAATAAAGCAGGGCTTCTGAAGGCGAGGTCAGAACAAGCTGCAAGCTTGCAGACTCCGCTAATCAGAATGGGAGGAGGGGAGAGAAAGAATCAACAATTTGAGATTGAAAGGGAATAAGTGGACAAGAACCTTGGAGTTTGGGTGCCTTTGACATAGAAGCTTATTATAACTAAGACTGTAAGGAATGTTTGTTGATAAGTAGTTTATTGATATTAGGAGAAGTGATGACTTAGTAGGGGTCACGATGATCTGTGTGTTTTGTAAAAGCTAGTTATAAAAAGGACTAGCTAATAGAATGTATTTTGGAGCAGTCCTCTGAAGCCATCCTGAGTGACATTCTTCCTGACACCTTACTCCCCAGTGGGGAAACAACTGGCCATCACGGAACTGCTGTAATTACTCAATACTGTCCCATATTTTAGGTAAATATTTGGGATGTTCTAAACCTATTGCTTGTGTCTGTGGGCACTTAAATATAATAAATTGTAGTTTTAGATAAGAGCACGCTTACTTGTGTTAATCTTTCATCAGCCGGAGCACTGTGTTCCCATTGATTTATTCCTGGCACCGCCTGGAGTGAAACAGTTAAGTTACAAGTGCTGTGGGTTCTCAAAACCCTGGGTAACACTTGGGCTATTATTAACTATTTGTAACCTGGTAGTGCCTCAGAGCCCCAGTCATGGGCTAGGACCTCATTGCGCTAGGCGCTGTACAAACCCAGAACAAAACAGTGGTCCCTCCCCCAAAGAGCTTGCAATTTAAGTAGAAGACAAGACACAACAGATAGATATGGAGAGTACAAAGAAACAATGAGAAATGCTGACCATTACTGGTAGGCAGCTGGTGTGCTGAGACACACTGACTCAGTTGTTGTTGTGTTTTTTTAATAGACATCACAGCAAAGGAACTAGGAGAACAGTGAGGTGGCTGTGTGGATGTTTATGAAGAGCTCTTCTCACATGTGAACAGCCTGGGAGAAAGCACAATGGTGCTTGTTTGATAGTTTAACAAGTGGGCTATTTTCATTTATGTTGATACTGGAATTTCATTTGAGGTGGGACTTCTATAATG